TGAAATGATTAAAAAACATTTTCTAATTATTTTGTATAGAAACTGCTCATGTAGGTAATTTGCACTAAAATTGTTATAAATTATAAGGAATAGTATATTGTACTTATTGATACTAAATGTTATTCAATATCAGTAGAATACAGAATTTTGTGCAAGCTTGTATTATTTGTAAAGTGATTTAAATCATTGACCACAATTTGTATTTTCTCCATCTTTTAAGATGTTTAATTGAAATAATTGGCCACTATTCAATGAAATAATCACTACCTGTTAATAGATTTGCATAGATGTTTGAGATGTTAGTGTGATTTTTATTTAAGTAATGATAATATTCAAGACTAATATTCTTGAATGTTCTTGTGTGGAATTTTTACACAGAAGTGAAAAAGTTGGGAAATTCAACACAGTAATTATCTGGATAATTTTTTTAAGTGGAAAGACGTAATAGTCTATATTTTCAGAGTCCATTTATTGTTTTGCTTTATGTAAGCTTAAGGGGCTATAAGTAAAATGTTCCATTGGCGTAAAAAATAGTTAGATTATCACAATCAACTTGATTATAAAAATGTATTCCCTTGTTCAAGTCAATGTTATGGATTTTGCTTCTTTCTCAAGTTTAGCTTATAAGTGGCTATAAATTATTTGCATAGGAGGTGCACTTAATTTTTTCAGTTAGGTTTTAAAAAGTAGTTTCAGTTTACTCCTCTAATGCAATTATCCATTAGAAATTAGATATGTTAAAGAAACCCTTTGGAACACTGACTTTTGGCCTGTCTCTTAGGCATAAGATGAAATAAATCAGCTATTGCTTTTTACTTGTTTGCATATTCTCAGTAGGCAGGTAAACACCTGACTTAATTGCTTGTTATATGGATCATAGCACATATAAAGATAAATCATTTTTCCCTCTTCTTTGTTTAGGGTGCTATTCTTAATCATGTACTAAGTAAGTATTTACATGCATATAGACTATGTTTATTTGGTCACTGCATTTTAATTAATGTGTAAAAGACCATATATAAACTACCTGTTATTTACATCTATATTCATTATTAATCTGATGTCTAGGAAGTTGCATTTAGTAAGAATCTAATTAATCAGGTTTGCCTTTATCTTATAGTTGGGATTCCTTTATGCCCTGTAGTGTTACTGTGTACAGTGTTTACTAGAGACTTAAATGATACTTCTTTAAGCATCCAGTTTTCATTTTATTAAAAAATATTAGTGTTTCTTTACAGGTTAGTTTTATATTCTCTTTTAATATTTTAAGACATTGCTTTCCTATTTAATAATGTGCTGTTGCCATAATAGTCTGTTTTTATTACATAGACATTTGTGTTATTTAATAAAGTATATTGTCTTATATCACTATATTTTTGTGGGTCAATGATTGCTTTTGCAAAAGTTTTTTAAAACATTGTATTCACTATTTATTTTGATAAGTTAACTATGTCCTGTATTATGTGCTGCATGTATTTCCAAGTTTATGTAAGAAATAAAGGTAGAAACCTTAAATAAAATTGGTCAATAACTACTTTAACTCCATTGCAGCTTTTCAGTAGCAGATGATTATAGACGCTTATAAGTTTTGGGTGTTAGAGTTTTTTAAATTGTCTAAATTTGCAACATAGCCAGAGTTTGTTGTGTGACAGAATTCGATAAAGATTACAAAGTGGTATGTGTGCATAAAATTAATAAGCTACTATTTTGGCCATCCACATTGTTCTTTGATTTCTTGGGTTCTTAATAGTATCTCTTACATTTGTCTGTAGTTTATTAATTCTTGCAAGTTCTGCTAGAGTTCACTTGTGTTTATCATTTTGTTTCTGTGATTAGCACATAAAGCTATAGATTGTTTCAATTCAATATTCTAACATAGAAGCAACCAGATTTTTTCACATTGAAATAATTTGAGACCTCTTTACAAAGAGCTTATATTTGTATATTTATTTATCAACAAAACTATCGACTTCATGATTGGCTCATTTTTTTCCTCTTTTTTGGATTTTGGCAGTTCCTAAGCTTACTACTTCTTTTTGCTACTTAGTCTTGAAGCTGCAGCTTTTATTTACTATTGAGTTAACTAGAACTTCAGGGAGCTTCCCTATTATCCCTGATTCTGACAAGCAAATTCTTTTTCCTTTGGAATGCATTACAAATACATGAGAGTTGCACATGTTGACTAAGTAATTCTGAAAGGTATCACTAATGAAGGACTCAGTCAGCAAGGAATAAGTCATTTCTAAATAGCGTATATTTGTTATTGTCTTCTGATAAGCTAGTATATAAAAACTTTCTCTTCCTCTTTTCATTAGTTCTGGAGCTGAAAGATAATTTGATTTTACAAGTAGTTGAAATCAGCAACAGATTGGAACTGGATCAGTGTAGCAAACTTGTTCTTAGTTTATCAGCTGGAGTTTCATAGCTATAGAAACCAGAATTATTTATGTACATTAAGGTGACAAATAATGAATTATGATTCATATTCATTATATTTGCCTCAAGTTGTACACTAGAAATCATAATTTGAAAATTATTACGACACAAAGTTATAAAGAAAATGCGCAATAATTAGGTAGTAAATAGATATGAACTAGGAAGACGCTAATACTTCATCAAGAACTTTGATTATTCGCAGTATGACCTAAATAGCGCACTACCCAAAAACCTAAAGTTAAGGAAAAAGACTATAGTTAACAAACAAAATTGAGCCCATTTACTTAGTAGAAATTCTCATTTTCATGTATTTCTACTGTCCTTTTACATAGCCTCATAAGTTTTAGTGGTCTGGTTTTTGAATCCATAACAGATTGTTTTTGGGGAATTTATGCTTAGCCAAACACACTTACAATATCAGAAAGCAGTGGCTGATAGTTTTCAAGCAAGTGAGGACTCTGAAAATCTATGAAAATTGAATACAAGAATTCAAATAGATCAGCAGACCTACTGGTCTACATACCAAGGACAAAAGGCTGACACACTGTTAGACGTGTAGCAGCATATGTTATTCTTACTGATGACCTGAGGTGACAAATATAGATTATATTAAATACGTTTATTTGATGAAATAAGCAATGTGATTAGTTTTAAACTTCTTATCAAAGATGATTAAAACACAGGTTTTTATGTATGAAGGAGTACATTCTCAGTTATTTACAAGTCTCAATCTTCTCATGAACTCAGGAATACTTTGAAGGTTTCTATATTCATATGTTTAGTTGAAATTTTGACTAATGAAAGGTAAATATGTTGTATTGAGAAAAAAGAGCATAAAATTATGTGGGCTTGCCAGTTAGTCCCTTGATGTCACATTTAAAGTTATATTATTTGTTATTCTTACTTAATGCCAGAACAACAGATATTTGAACATTTAAATTGCTTTCAAATATATTTTTAGTTATGTGATAAGGTCATCATAAGTAAAGTACTGTTGGTCCTATTTGACTTTATCTGTTCCTGTAGCTAGAACTGTCGTCGTAAGCATTTTTTAAAGTCTTGAGTCTAAAAAGTCTTTGGAAAAGTACTTAAGCTTATTTTATTCATAAAGAGAAAGTTGTAGAGGAAGAAATACATAAACTTAGGGCATTCAATTGCATTTTAAACTTCTTTATACCTGAATAACTTAGCTAAGTTGCTTAACTTTTCTGAAACTCTCAGTCCCCAAAGGAGTTTTTGGGAGATTGAATTTTTGTAGCATAATATGAAATTTCTACTAAAAAATGTAGATTTACATTCCCTTTTATTATGACGGTTTCTCTAAGTTAATTGTTTTTCTTTGTGTGTTGTTTATGTAAGAAGAGCTTCTGCCTCTTTTTTCCTAAAAGGTTATTGAGTAGTAATTTTCAACTTTATTTGAGTAATATATTTCTATAAATTTTTCCTCTTCGTTTTTTAATCATAGATTTCTTGACATTTGAAGTTTTAAATTGGTGAAACATAAATAATAAAGAAAATCTGACAGATTGGTTGAGAAAGTGTTATTGTTTAATTTTTTTTTCAAGTACTGTGAAATGAGGAATGCAATCCCTTTTATTAGGTGTATACTCTTTGTTATTTGTTGTTAAATTTTGGTCTTGTTATTCCAACTGATGCAGAATTCTTTTTACAAAGCACTGAAATAATACAGATTTTTCTTCATTGTCAGCAGGATGAGATTGTCTGAAACGAAGAATAGGTATGGTAGTTTTCTTAGATTTTGTACATCATAGGTGGCAAATATACCATCAAAACATTTATTAAGTTTTTACATGCACTAGGAAGTACTTTGTAAAACCAAATGGTCTGAAGAAAGTGACAGGTAAATTGAGACAATAAAACTCAATTATTGGGGTAGTTTCTTACCTCTTTGTATATTTAAATGTTCTGTGATTTAACATGTAAAGGTTATTTTTATTTGCTATAGATTGTGTTAGCATGCTATAAATGTTAGAAAGTTCATTTACAATCTACTTTAACTGGGAGAAAGAGAAAAATTGGTGTAAATTGTATAGCATTAATTGCAACCTAGCGTAGCCTAGTAGAATTTCTGAGTTTTACAATATTTTAAATAATCGAAATGTATATTATTGGATTCATTTCCTTGAATTATCTGTATATCTTATTAAACATTTTTAAAGTATTTAATGGGCAAATGATAAAGTTCACAATTGAAATTGTTGCAGTTGTTTTGAATACATATGATTATATATGTTGATTAATATGCTCTTAATAGTTCTACTAAGTGTTCTAAATATTTGTTGCATTTGTTGATTTTATTGTTTCTGTATTTTGTTTTTGCTAAAACATTTATTTCAGGTTTAGTTTGCCTTTATCATAATCATTAATTTGATGATCTTGTGAGCCAAGGATAAAGTTAACAATGTTGAAGTTGAAATATACAATAGTTTGTATTATTGTCTTTGAAGTGTTTGAAGTTGAAATATTCAATAGTTTGTCTTTATGTCTTTGAAGGTTTATATGTTATTTAGATACACCTACCTATAAATCTGTTTACCCTACAGGTGTGATGAATGCAGACTCTGCTACCATTTTGGCTGTTTGGATCCTCCTTTGAAAAAGTCTCCTAAACAAACAGGCTATGGATGGATATGTCAGGAGTGTGATTCTTCATCTTCTAAGGTAAGGGGAGGAGTCTATAAGAAAAGGAATTGTTTCCCTTCTTTTTGATAGCTTTTCCATGTCACCCAATCAGCTTCTTAACTTTAAAGATAATTGGATTATGAAAGACCAACATTTCAACAAATACATCTTAAGAATATATTGCTATGGTGATTTTCTTGCCATGGTGAAATGCCATCTCTACTAAAGGTACAAAAAGTTAGCCGGGTATGGTGGTGGATTCCTATAAGCTTAGCTACATGTGTGGCTGGGGCAGGAGAATCACTTGAACCCAGGAGGCAGAGGTTGCTGTGAGCCAAGACCATGCCATTGCACTCCAGCCTGGGCAACAGGCCAAGTCTCCGTCTCAAAAAAAAAAAAAAAAATATATATATATATACACACACACACACACACACACACATTTGTAAAATGATTATTAAAATATAATTGTGTATATTTTATTTAATAATCAAGCATTTTAACCTAAAATTATAAACTATATAGTAGCAAGAATTATTTTACAGGCATTTTATTAAGGCCCAGATTTTAGAGAGAACATACTTAGTTTTAAAAATTTTATTGTATAGTTCAAAAATAGTTCAAAAATGTATTCCCAAAATTTCATTTAAATGTAAAAACAATGAAGCACTATAGAGTTTAAATTGTTGTCTTATGAGTCTCTTTAATAAGTTTTTTTAAGTGTATTTTTTAGTTTGGGATTTTCTCCTACCTTCAACAAACAAGTTAGGAAGGCAATTTTTGAAATAGGATTTCCACCTTTTTAAAATATACCTTTTTGCACATATTCTTTTGAGAAGGCTCAATACTATAAATATGTAGTATCATATGAAATGTTAAGTTATATAGTAATCTTGTTAATGAATTGAAAAGGCAAGGGGGCATATTTCAGATTTGTTTGAAATCGAGCATACATTTTGTACATGCCATAGGTGCCAGTAGCCATTGGATAAGCTTTTAGTTTTATTTTCTCCTCTACTACAGAATGGGTGTTTGGACTCTGAGTGGAAATAAATTAGGAAGGCACATTGTTAAAAACTTGCACTGTATTTGCTGTTACGGTTTGACCTGTAGTTGAATATCAACATAAACACCTAACATTTTCAAAATTTCATCAAATATGGTTTCTAATTTTGGAATATCACAGCAGTTTACTGTAAGGAATGAAACAACAGTGAAATGGATTTGTATTTTCGTTATAACTATATACTATTAATGTATTACTATTTTCCAATGAAAATTAAACAATATAATATTTAAGCTGGAACTTATAGAGACTTAATTCATTCCCTTGAATATTTGTGCCACATCAGTTGTTTTTCTTACTTTAGAAGAATTCCATTCATGACCAGTGGGTAGTAAATTTCTGTTTACATTCTCTACTGAAAGATGTTTGCTAGTATTAGATCCTAAGAGTAAAGCATTGATAGATAATGTCATGCTTTATAATTTAGTGAATGCTGCAGAAGCTTTTACATTCAGGAAGCTGTATGTTATTAACATCCAAGTCAAGAAAATTAGTAACGTCTTAGGACTTAAAAGAATCTAGAATGAAAGTTCACATGCATTGCCTATCCCTTGTTCTCCTACATTTGCTTTGGTAGAATATTATTTGCTAGGTAGCACTGTGTATGTTTGCCATATTCATATATTTTAATGAAATGAAAAGCTAAAAGAGAAATATTTATTGCCATAAGAAAGTAATCAGTTGCAAATAAATTTGTATGGTAAAATTTCTTCAGCGTCTTTCTCTGCGCTAGTTATGTTGTTAAGCCTAGCAAGTCGTCACTTTTATTTGAAATTTTGACTTGTATATAGAAATTATTTGTTTTGCCTAGAAGTTTAGATAATACAAAGCAAGTATTTGTATTCAACTATACAAAGTGTGTATAGTTGAATATTTGCTTGAAAAATGAATTGCACTTTAACATTTTGTCTAAATTCTGTGGACCAGGGGAAACTCTAAAATATTGCTATTTATACTGTCAGCAGCTATTTATTTATTACTTTGTCTTTCAAGTAACTGGTTGTTGATCTGGGGTTGTATGAGGGCAAAAATTTCTATCTTTATCCCTGCCTATTATTTTTATAGAAATTTCATAAGAGTCTAATAAGATTCATCATATCTAAATTTATAATATTTTGTTTTAGCACATGAAAGCTGAAATGCACCTATTTAGTTTTAATAATATTGATTTAATAACAATTTGCCTAAAAGTAGAAGAATGTCATTTTATTCTACTCAAACCCATGAAGTATGGCATGTTAAGACTTTCTGTGTCTCATCAACTCTTCATAAACCTAGATAGTCATTTTGAGTTTCATAAAAAATGGCCAGTTACATGGACACAAACATATCTACGTGTATGTACATACATGGAGGCACAAATATATACACATACAGATACACGGAGACACACACACTCATACACAAAACACATCTTCTCCCACAGACTATGCTTCAAAGCCATTGACTAAGACAGCAGCCATCCGTATAGTACACTATGCTTTTATTCACTGGAGCTAGTTCATTGCTACCTGTCACAATGCATTAAGGCTTTTTTTTCTTGCTCTTTACTGTGTTGTGAAAATCTTAATGTTAATAAATGCTACATGCCTGGAAAAGAAATGTATTTTCTTCTTTCTTAACCCCACTTTTATTTTCTTTCGTTTCTGCTTCCATCCATTTATCCAAGTTCCATAACTGAAATCATCCTCAAGCCTTCCTATCCTTATCTCAAATAGCAAACCACTTCCTGAGTCCTATAAAAGTTTTCTTCCTTAAATATTTCTCCAACCTGCTCTTTGCTTCGTTTCTCCACTCATAATAGAATGAGAAAGAGTTAGGCACTCCTGTCTTGAGATAGTGCCTAACTCTTTCCCAATCTATTATGGTTCTTCCTGTTTTAGAAGCTATCTAAATAGGTGTGCCAGACTTAGCCCTTTTTATCCATTCTGCTCACTAGAGGCCTCTAAATGAAGTGTTTGCAACACAGTAGATACACAAAATGACTCATTAAATTAACTTAATTCTGTATAACATCTATTTTAATTTTCATGTCTGAGTCTATTTCATGATTTAAATATGCTAGTACTTTAGAACAGGTACTAAAAGTTCACATATATATATATTTATGTTGAAGTGCATATTTAAAATGTTTTTACTAATGAGATGTATCATCAAAAATAACTTTCTGAAAATGTAGTTGTCATATCTCTGCTTTAAATCTCTCAGTGTTTTTTCATTTATTTTTAAAAATCAACCAGATTAGAAAACTAACATTGATATATTATTACTATCTAATCCTCAGATTTCATTCAGGTTTGGCCATTAATTTCAGTAAGGTTTGGCCATTAATTTTAGTAAGGTAAGGTCATTTATGGCAAAAGGATTCAGTATAGAATCACAGGTTACATTTAGTTTTCATGTTTCTTTTGTCTTTAATCTGGACAGTTCCTTAGTCTTTCCTTAACTTTGATTAGCTTGTGACTTTTGACAATTACAGAGCAGTTACTTTGTAGAACGTACTTCACTGTGCATTTTCCAAATATTTTCTTGTGGCTTAAATTCATCGTAAATCTTTGATAAGAGTACCACAGATGTGATGCTGTGTTCATTCTACACAAAATTTTTATTTGAATTGTAGATAATGATGTTATATCTTAGGAGTTGTCTGCCAGTTTTCTAACTAATTAGTGATTTGTGGGGCAAAACCTTGAGACTATGTAAAAATATTCTATTCCTTACCAAACCTTAATTTCCTGTTTTATTCAATGGTGTTATATTGAATGTTACTGTTTATTTGTTTTTTAAATTGCTCCGAATTTGGCTAATGAAAACCACTTCAAGCTGTCTTCTATATCCTTTGACATGATTCCACTAATCTTAAAGAAATTTCTTGCTGAAGGTCTTCCAGGCAGAAACCAAGATCTGGTGTGATCGTTGCTACTGGGATTTGTTCTTCCTGGTTCTCTGAGTAGACAAAGCCAAGGACTAGGCTTAAGTAGGCATACGTAGTCATACCATAGCCACACTTACATATATTTTTTTGTTTTTATAGATATTGAAAACTAATTTTCTTCCTTTTTATTTTTGTAAATAACTCCTTGGTAAATCTCCAATAGAAAACTGGCTCCCATTTTCCTTAATATATATATATATATATATATATTCTCTTATATCATTACTCTCCTGACATGAAACCAATCTCTTATCACCCTCTACTCCTACCCACATGGATACCTGCTTTGCTTATCATCTGGTAACTTTTAAACTGAATTGTTCAGGAAGAGGAGAGAGAAGGGATAAGGACAGACATTTGTGTTTTTTACAAGTTCTACAGGTGATTTTAGGAGCAGTTAGGAATAAGAACTACTGTTATATCTAGTTTTTAGAAACTTCAGTTTTTACAAAGTTTTGAACCCAAAAATTAACTTTTTGGAATTTTAAAACAAGTACACAATGTGTATAACCCAAGTCAAATGTCAACAAATTGACATTGTAATACTATGTTGTATATAAGATATAAAGTAGACAGTATTGTAGTTAAACAAATAGGACATAGTTCATGCATCAGTCTTTTCCATTATATTCTTGATAAAGATCTCAACAACTTGTATCTGCTGAAACACTTAAAATGAAGGTAATTTGTCTTAACATTGTTAAATGAACATGTATAAATATTTCTTTTAAAAGTGCTTCCTCCAAGTCATATGTATTCAGAAATGTCACTGAGGATATAAATATCCATTATGTACGTCACAGTGACTATGTCAGTTACTATTCTAGCTTTTCATCTTTGTTTAAGCTCTGTTTCTGACTACTATAACATGAGCTGTCTTAGCTTGGAGACTTCTATTTGGTTCACTCTTATTTGATTTTTCTAGTATGCTACACTTTTTGAGTAGTAATAATTCATGAATTCATATGCACAGGAATGTTATCCAAGTCCTTATGGGAGATTTTCTAGAACTCCAAATGTGCGACAGATGAGCTAAGG